TGAGTGACTTATAAAGTGTTTTTTTTTTTTGGACTAATTTTTTAAAATTAATATAATATTACATATATATTGCATAGTGCCTGCAGAGAGCTTTGATGGATAGGGTATATGCGGTAAGAACATTTCTTGACATTGAGCGAACATTCAACAATGTACGGCCGAAGGCGATCATTAGTGAACTGGGCAGGTTAGAGGTTGAAACGAACCTCAAGCATCTTATATATTGCTCTCTCAGCAACAAACTGTTGCCAGTACACTTCGCGGCGTAGGGACCATTCTAATCTGGAATGCAAGAAATACAGTCCAAGTTTTGGAATATCCCTCTCTGGTTCCTCCGTCCAGTTTCCCGCAGTCTGATAGCAATCATCACAGCAATAGTTTTCTTACAAAGAAGAGGTCAAAGTATTTCACTTTTCAAGGAGAAGAAGTCGAGAGACCCTCAATGAGGGGTACTTTTTACGAACTCGGCGAATTGGCTGAAATTGATATAAGTCGCCTCGAAATTTGTGACAAACTCGTTTTGCGACGGTTTTTTTCATCCATTCCTGGGAGTTGTTGGTAAGACACAACGGACCAACGTCTCCAGCGATCTAAGTATAACGTCTAACGCGAGTGTAAACCACCTGGTTCTGGCGGTTACAAAAATTTTAAGAAGGCTGGTCACCATAATTTCGTTCTAGTCTTGAAAAAAACCAAGCTTGTTCAACACAGCAGCTACAAAGTCCGTTCARTATTTGCAGCTCAAGGTTATTTATTCTCAATTTTTACTTAGCGTTGCAAACTATCACAAAAATTATGCAAATAATGCCCGTGGGATTGATGGATGAGGCCGTTGGTGCAACTGGTCCCCAGCCATGCTGGTTATTTGACAAGAAAGTGTATATGTATACTACATATATACATATCATTTCGTATATATGTATATACATATATGTACGTAGACATTTGTAATTACCTTCTTATGATGAGTACGTTTATTCATTCGCGGCTCGAGTACGTGAAATACGCAAATCCACGTACTTGAAGCGCCAAAGAAACCTCCATTTCATAAGGGGAGCCTCTTCGGCAACAACAACAAATATACAAAACATAACAACAGAAGAGCGTATACCGCAAATAATTGCTTTGTTATGTGTGCTATGCAGAAGAAGCGGCTTAACKTAAGCTTGAAATGTACAAGTGATTATATAAGGCATGCAAAAGCTGCTGCGGCGACAAATATACATATTTACATACATACATATATGTACATATGTATGGAAACATATGCAAGCACTATTTATATGCATGTATATGTACATATGTATGTATGCGTGTATTAAACCTGTCTTTTGATGCTTTTGTAGATTCTTACGGATTTTTTTCATGTATTTTACCGCTGCATATATACTGCATATATACAAGCATGAGTACATATGTATGTATGTATGTATATACCACATACATACTTATATTTGTATGTAAATGGATATATTCCGCTGTCTTCCTTAGCTACAAAGCTTTGCTAAATGTACACATGTTCTTCAATCCTCTGCTCTCCACACAAACCCACACATATGCGGGTCGCACACACACACACACACGCAGATGCACTTGTTGTGCAACCCGCTGTGTTGTTTATGCTGGAAGAATGTTAAGAAAATCTACGCTAATTCGCAATGCGCAACTGCACATAGTTGTTTTTATTGTTGTTGTTGTTGCTATTTGTTTGTGGCTGCTATGTAACCTCGACGGTTGTTGGGTGGAGAGACGGGTAGTCGAGAAAGCGCCAATGTTTGCTAACTGAATGAAGGAATGAATGAATGCAGCTAGAACAACAACAAMAACAGCAACAGCATAATGCGACAAAAACGGTGGCCATCGCAAGCATATGTGTATACAAAAAATATATACACATACATATATGTATGTATGTACAATAGGTATCAATATTTATGTGTGTGTGTGCGCTTGCGGCGGCAATGCGATGATGTGGAATTACAACAAAAGCAAACAACAACACTAACGGCAGCCCGGAACGAGCGGCAGCCAACTAAACTGAACATGTAAARGCCAACAACAACAACAAGCCACTTYTTAGTTACATATGTATGYATGCACGTGTATTTCAAGAACGCATTAAGAGCCCTTCGCATTGGACTAGCTGCGTCATTGCGCTGCCACTAGGCTTATTTGCTGGACTTTTTGCACCGACTGCAGCTACTGCTACGGCTTTGGCATTGCTGTCGTTTGCTTTTGCGCTGTACTACGTTGCGTTGCGCTTTGTCTTAAGCTTTGCCGCATTGTCATCCAACATGACAACTGCAATGTGGCAAAGAAGAAAATCGTGGAAATAAAGAAAACGAGAAGGAAGCGTGCAAAAAGTGCCAGCCAGCAAGCCAGTAAGCAAGGCGTAACAAAATACAAAAACAAAACAAACAGAAAAAACAGGAGAAACGTGCACCTCGACTGCAGTGAAGCTATAATACCCTACACGGTTAAATTTTTCATAACATAAAAGGGTATAAAATCATTTTTTTATATAGATTTTGAGCCAGTTTGTATGGCAGCTATATGCTATAGTGGTCCAATCTGAACAATATGTACAGAAATTGTAGTTTTGCTTTGAAAAATAAGCCATATCAAATTTCGTGAAGATATCTTTTCAAATAAAAAAGTTTTCCTTACAAGTGCTTGACTTTGATCAGTTGTCAATTTGTATGGCAGCTATATGCTATAGTTGTGCGATCGCAACAAACTTTTCGGAGATTATAGAGTTGCTTGCGAAAGTAAGATGTACTAAATTTTGTAAAGTTATCTTGTCAAATAAAAAAGTTTTTTATACAAGCACTTTATTTCTATCGTTCAGTTTGTATGACAGCTATATGCTATAATGGTCCGATATCGGCAATTCAGGCATATAAGTAGCTGCTTGAGCAGGAAAGTACGTGTGCAAAATTTCAGATGGTTAACTCTGAAACTGATTGACTGGTTAGCATATATGTATAGAAACAGTCGGAGGGATTTGGCGAAAGAGCCYCAGCTCGTCACATGTGCATACCATGCGTGTTTGCGTAGACATTTACTATACTTGCCAAAAGCTCCATCAGAATSGGGCAGGACCTYTCCGAGCAGTTCGATACTAAACTAGGTTTGAGATAAGTGAACTCCCTATAGTTTGACCTCTTCAATCTACTCCTRGAGAAAATAATTYGAGCTGCTGATCTGAATAGAGAAGGTACAATSTTYTARAAGAGTGTACAGCTCCCTAGGCCATGTCGTCCGAATGAAAGAAAACACTGTAGCTTTGAGAGTATTCGACGCAGTACCTAATGAGGAAGCAGAGGAAAAGAAGACGTGCACTTCGTTGGCAACACAAGGCCTTCTACACTTGGCTATAACCACGTAAGCGGTATCTACGTCARTAAAGAAGAAKAATTTACTTTTTGTGTAACTGATATATCCTTCTTAGAGTTAACAACATCTTGGCAAAATTAATGTACTCTGTTCAAGGTATGAAAACGAAATCGTCAAGATATATGCTTGTCTCGGCTGCGTTAAATGTTTGCATTGCCGCATAACCGCTGCATTGCAACAAACAAGCGCCTGCTGCGGCAAGCGSACAGTCAGCCAGCCAACTACTTAGCTGCGGAAATGACCAARYGACGAGGCGTCCGACCGCCAAACGCGTCAACCCATCAATGTGCCACGCATCCAAAGCATTGGCATTGGTCATATTAACTCTTTGGCGCAGCTATTGAACACTCGCATGACGAGGCGGCATGCCACGTACCACTGCTGCATTTGTGACCCCGCTGACGTTGTAGAAATATTACGTCCATGGACCGCACAGCACTTTAGCACATCTAACAGTAATAAACACTAGCCCGAACAC